GCACGGATCGGATACATACGAATTCAATTGTCTACGAAAACCTTCGAAGTGATTATTGGCACACGGTCGTATTTTAATCATTCTGACTTTTTCAGTTTTGATACGAGAAAAAATGTAGAGTTGTAGACATGATAGGGTTCGTAGACTAAGTGGGATTGATATATTGTGTTTAAAGGTAATGCTACTCTTCATTTTTATAGTCTTACTCGATCCAGTAAGGTCGTTGTCAGCTCAATTTCAGAAATGGATGTGCTTTCAACATCACTTGTAAGAAATACTTCAATCAGTTTCGGTGTCTACAGTGATCTATGATTCCTAATTAGGGAATGATTACGAATCTATAAACAGTGTACAAAGCCTAGGAGAGAATAAACTCTATATTCCAAATGGAGACCATTTTTTTAATCAAATTAATAAACACTAAAAAAAGTGGTATCCATCATGAAGCTTCGATATTTTTTTTAATGAGCGTATGATTATCTTGTCTTTATAAAGAATCACTACTGTATATCGTTGTTCGCTCAAATTTCAGGGAAAACTGGAATCACAGAATATATGGATAGTTCATTTTAATTCGCTTGATTGATTAAAAAATTTTCTTTTAAAATCAGTGTCGGCAAGAAAAAAGCATGAGTGGACGGATATCAAGTTTTTTGGAAGGAAGCTAGTTAAGTAGGAGAACGCAAGGTCTTTTTGTACTAATCAGAACTACTTATTTATCAGCAACCTGTAATTAAAGAACAATTTTGAACGATCAAGATTTATTGCCGAAAACTGTTTTTCATTGAATTAAATATTTTCTTTATTATAAAAAGTTTAGATTTTCAACCACTATCAATCTTACAGTGGATTGAGTTCTGTTATAATTTTTTTGCTTGAAGAGCGAGAGAGAGAAATAAAAACACAAAAATACTTGAAGTTTAATGGAAAAATATATTCTAAAAGGATTCACCAGAGTTTGTGTTTGTCAACTCAATGTTTCTGCTCAATGCTAATTTCTTTCCACATTATACGTGAGTAAAAAATAAAAATTCAAAGAAGTATAGTAAAATAAATGAAATAATCATTCATCTACCATAGTCGATCCTAGTGGAAGTTCTTGAAGTTAAGAAAGCAAGATCTTGGAACATTTCTTAGCCGAGAAATGATTCTTGGGCTTTCTTGTGCATTAACATGTAAATTGTCTTGGGTGTTTCTTGAGAGAAGAAACTATGTTGTTGCAAGAAAGATCTATTTTGCTGATTATCTGCGAAAAAATTAATTTCTTGCAGCGAGAATACGTTTCTTGTAGACTCAATATACCCCAGCAAGAACGGGCGATAAACGATAAATGTTTGTCCTGCATGAACTATAAAAATTGCAAGAAATCGTTTTGTTGTGTTCTATTCTGTGATAGATATAAATAGAAAGAAAACAGAAGAAATATTAATTATCGATCAAAGTGCGATTTTTCTGAATTCAAATCATTTCTTGTTCAAATCACCTTTAATAAAACGAAAACTATAAATTAGAGCAAATCTATTTTTTTCAAAAATCGTGTTGTAAATTTTCCTGCCAAGTTAATCTTCAACTAACGCTAATTGTTTGACCTTGGTTGTCAATTATTTTAACCTAGGAATGATTTTGTTTGTAAGATTATTCGTAGAATGTATGCGTTATAAAAGAAGTTACTACTTTTGTGGTGCAAATTGAAATCTATCGAAAGAAAGAAGAAAAAATAGAGAAGTCATCATATCTATATACATTGTGGCTATCTAAAAAAGCGTGTCTGTGTTTCTGTGTAGACGTAGATATAACAAGTAAACAACAGGATAATAATAACGATAAATTAAATATCGATTTTTATTCTTCTATTTGTTGTACCGTCCATCTAGAAAACAAACGAACATGAAGACCGAGTACTATTTCGTAATCACAAGTGTTTGTTTTATTTCGTGCGATATTTTGATAAATGTTCATTGATACGCATTAGATATTAAATTTGTTGGACACAAGCTCACTCTCAAGAATTGAATGCTTTCGAATAATCTTATTGTCATGGCAACTTCAAATGAATCATGATTATTCCTGTAAGTTCTTCTCACTGTGTAAATTTCTGGAGACTTCATTCCAAGGCTGAGTGAGTCCAGACTGAACGATTTTTCGGTGGACTCGGACTCGAACTTGAGTTTTTGTATTTCGAGTACGATCGATTCAACTTTTAACGTAAACGACAGAGAAATTTTCAATATTGATATGGGATATATAGACGCACGTATGTTACTGTCTTTAAAATTTATGCTTAAAAAATATGTTATGCAGCCCAGGAAAAAAAAGAAATATAAATAGCCACAACCAAAATGATTTGAAAAAATTATTGGACTCTAAATGGACTCAGAACTCGGACTGCATGTCAAGGACTCGGACTCGGCTACCCTCTGGACTCGCCCCGCCCTGCTTCATTCTTTCTCGCTTTCTTCTCGATACAATCTAATCTAAAGGCAGAAGAATATGGATTTTGGTATCAGAAAAAAGGCCATGAATAAGAGCATTTGTCTCCAACGAACGAAAATAAGATGTTGCGACTGGAGAAAATACTATGTGACTGTTAGTGCAGCATTGTGGTTTTACTTTTGTTTTACTACATCTTATATAAATATCAGAATGAAATACACAAACGGAAGGAAGTGTTAAGACAAGTTGTAAGATGAAAAATTAGTTTGAATGGATCTGGAGTTTAATCAACATATCCCCGACAGGAAAATAAAGCTCATTAGTCGCGGAAAAGTGTTTTTTAATACTCAGCACAGTCAATAACCCGGAAGCTCTTCTATTTTTGACGAGGGATATTGGCAAAAATTTAAGAAAAATTTTAAAACTAATACAATATTCCTAGCGAAAGTTTTTTTTCGCATTTCTTGTCAAAATCTTGAGTCAACTAAGTGTCCTACTTTCTTTGTTTACTTCTATTGTTTTTTCTGCGGGCATGGTTCGAGTTTAGAGATTTCATTTTTTGCTGTAATACGCAAGGGGGAAAAGGCGACTTTTTTCTTTCTTAGCATCGGAGAGCATCGCTCAACATCGGATGCTGGCCATTTTAAGCTTCGGAAAGCATTTGAAGGACTCCGAAACGCTCCCGGAGCCGCCTTTTTCGCCTTGGGAATACGTCAATAGAATTGTATCTCCATTCAACATAGTTTAATCATTACCCACACATACTCAACGTAGATCTTTACCTTTTTAATTGACAGAAAGTATTCACTTCGCTTCTTAATATTGGCATCAGTATTGACAGAGAAAGTTTTTATTTCAATCCTGCTACACTTCGTTCAAATATAGACACACTTCTTGCTGAAGTAGCGATGTTATGTCTTTTAACTATTCTTTTTTTCTTCAAATGTATGTAGCTCTGTGCTGAAACAGAAACGCACTGAAAACTGACAGTAAGCGTAGCACCTAAATAATTTGAGCCTTGTCCTGTATAGGCAGACGAGGTATTTCATAGAAAAAAATTTTGATTAGTTAGGCTAAACTTTTTACTTTCGGTCCATTAGATGATCAGAAATCATTTTTTAGAAATGATCGGGTAGCAGTTGGTACGGGTTCTGCCTATAATGTACATATCAATTGAATAGATTCGTAGATATAAGCGTTGTTATGATAAATAGGAAAGGACATTTTCTCCTACCAGTTGCGAATAACAGAATATCACGCATTAAACATGCATTCACATAATGACAATAATAATACTATATCATATAGCGTTTGTGAATAATAACTTGACGATTGATAAAAACAGACAGGCTCTTCACAAGAATGTGTATACAAAGAGAGCATTTGTATTATCATGTTAACAACGAACTCTTGACCGATTAGGATAATCATATGTGCTATGTACAATTATCACGCAGTTAGCATGCCTTAGTCCATCATAATGGATGTTCTGTATTGCATCTGTGTACTTAATAGACATTCAGTTTGAAAAACTTATACTCATGCACAAAAGGATTTTACGTGATACATGTGTTCGTCATAACGGTAGTTACAAATTTCTTGAAAAGCAAAATACTACAACATATCAAGATAAGATGGCAAGTGATCGACCATTAAGATGTATCGAGGGCCCCAGGTGGTTATTGAAGGATCTGAAATTTTGGTATACCTCGTTTTGTTCTAAAAATAAGAAATATTAGTAACTTATAAGAAAATACGATTGTTGTGAAACCCTACAGGTCCTGTTGTATTAAGAGAAATCTACAGTAGTTGCAGTTATATGAAACCAGAGAAGTATAGATCAGAAAATAACCATATTATATTATGATCTATTCAATAGGTAAAAACATTAAAAAAATTGAAAGCAAAACTTAGACGTTTTTTTAAATTTTTGTCTGTGTAAAAAGAAGCTCAACTATTTTTCAAGGTGAAATATATGTATAACAAAAAAACTTTGGCTTTTAGCCAGTTAAGTTACAATTATATATACGTACGTACATATGATCTCTCTATATGAATTAAAATGAACAGTAGATATATATATATACATGTTTCTGCACACAAATATAAACGTTTTCTCCTTCTTTTTGTACTGAATAGAAGAATGGATCAAGATCAAGATTATGTAGGCTGCATGTATATTCTTCTTCTCTTTGTACACACTATAAAAGTATACTTTATGTAGTGAGTAAGATTGTTAGATGACATTCAATAAAATATTATTGCAACAATTGTTTGTTATTTTGTTGAATATTTCAATTCTTTTACTTTGAACATTGATAGATAGTGAGCGACAAACATGTGAAAGTTCACCTTTCTCGTACCAACTAATAAATAATGTATTCTAGTACACTTTTTTGATTTTTCGACATTATTTGTAGTAACGCGCATTTTCACATCACATTTTAGAAATGAGATGTCTGTTAATCTGAAATGGGGATCCATGTCATAATTGTACTACTTCCTCCGGTCTGCTAAAATATGAACTAAATAGATAAAAATAATTGTTTTTCACCTTTTCTTTTTAGGAAGACTCTAACAATTCATCAAACAGTACATCTCTTTTTCTGAACGGTTACAATTCGAACAGCGCAGATTCTTCCTACAATATCACAATAACATCAACAATTAATAATAATAAGCAATCATTACCACGTGATTCATCGTCAATGGAAGTGATGAGAGGAAATGTATTGAATGATCTTCATCGTTCTCAAACCCCAACAACAACACGAATAAAAACTCCGAATATACCTATTGGTGGCTCAAATCAAATGCGCCGTCATACCATAGCATCAACATTTTCGCCTGATGCATTTTTTACATGTTCACGATCAGCTGATGATCAATTTCATATTGACGAACATTTTTCGTCATTGCAAAGTAGCAGTCATATAATTAATTATAATCATATATTAAATCTAAATCGTGTTTCATCCGAACCCGTTAATTTATCTTGTAGTGTGCAAAATCATTCTATTATAACACCACACTCTTTAAACTTAAAACATCATCCGTCAACAAAAACACCGAGAACCAGTCATATTTATTACACAACAACATCTGGACAATTTCTTATTAATAATGCTAAAAACAACTATGACGTTAAAATTGATACACCGGTTTATTTTTCAATACCAGATTGCAATACAGTGACCAATAATCATTGTTCTAAATTTTCATCAATATCGTCTTCGTCTTCAGAAGACAATTGCATAGATTCAAATGACTATGATATTATTCTTCTCGAGAACAAGCATCATAAACAATACGAAAGTTCGATAATAGATACGAGAAACTTCAATGTGTTTCAAACAACAAAACAGACGTTAAATGATGATACAAAATGTATTACACTAATATCACAGAATGATGAAGACGTGTTTCAAGAACAACAGAGTAGCAATAAAACGTAAGCCGGACAAGAAACGACGGATTGATACTCTCATTGGAGTTCTCAGATATAATTATGAATTCAAATACAAATCTCGTTTCGACGTATGCGGGGTCAAAATTTTTTGCTTCAGATTACAGTTTAAAAATTTTTTGTCGTAGTACCAAAAAAGTTAGTACCGCACTTCTCTAACTCTTATCAACTGAAAAAAGCAGCACCCACATTTGCGTTTTTTAAGTACGTAATTAGAGTCTTATCCAGGCAAACTTGACAGAGTTACTTCGAACTTTCTTTAAAACCCTACTCAGTTTAGTTAGAAAATGACAATCGATTCAGACAGAATAGTTTTTTATTATTCTAAGCAATGAATTCAATGAGAGAGAGAAGAAATTACAGTAAGATCAGTTGATAAATGTTATATAGCAGAAATCAACAAAGTCCGTCTTTGTAGAATTGTATTTTAAATAGTAGAATATTGAACTAAGCGTCTTTATATTAATCGTTTATAGAGTGTAAATGCTTTATATCTATCGATCTTGACAGTCTTTCATTTCAAAAATCAGTAACCTAAGGGATATGACTATATGTCACTTTTAGATTTATACTCTCTGATTAACATAAAAAAATAAAGATTATATCTTTGAGCTATACTTTCGATAATCACATCCATTCTGATTCTTGTCAAAAGAAACTATTTGTTTTGGAAAAAATACGAATGTTAATATTCGATGAAGAACCATTCTTTCATCTTCAAAGAACGTTGTGCTAGTTATACCCACGACAAGATACGGAACTAATTTCTAATAATCCTGAATAGCTGATGTACCACTATATAACCAAAAGATGACAGGAAATGAATAAACATTGCGTAAGATCATATCTTTCTACATTCTTTTTTTCTTTTAGTGTACTTCAAGCTTCTAATGATGTTGAGCAAATTGTTGATAATGAAAAACTACTTTCTGAAGAAAATCGCGAGACTATCGTTACATCTCTAGCGGTACCTTCATATAATATTGAAAACAATTCTGATTCAATAAACGATATAGATGGTAATAATGAAACAACATCAATAGCATTATCTTCCTCGCCTGTCGATACTCTCGAGAATACATTGTATGCAGAAACAGATAATAACAATAAGGATGACAACGCAAGTGACACAAATCATTCTAGTAGAATCTGTGAAGCTTCAACTGATTCAACTGAGAATAGCCCGGCAGTATCACAAACAAAACAATTAGATGACAATATATTATTAGATAATACGACAGATTCAGTTACGAATAGTGATGAACTACAAGATCGTTATTTTAAGCGAAGAAGACGCCGTACATCGTCACGTAATTCCTTTAGTCAAGAATCCCCATTATTACCTGCTGTTGCATCAACCGAAACTAATACGACAGATGAAACAAAATCCGAGAGACAAAAGGAAGAACAACTCGAACAAAATCCTTCTATTTTGCCATCAGCGCCATCCTTATTAACACAGAAAGACGAAATAAAATCTGAACATATTCAACAGCAAATTCCACAACAGTTAGAAGATCAGAGTGCACTTGAAAAAGCCGAAAATTATGAAACTATAATCAATGATAATAAAAATGCAGAACAAAAAGATGAAAAGTCGGTAATACGTTATCGTCCAAGGAGTAAGTTTCACAAATATATTCGATAGAAGTTTCTCACCTTTCTCTTGGTTGCGGCAGATTATTGTCGATACTATTAAAGAATTATTGAATTAATCTATCTGTCTATAGTGCAAATTAATTATTCATATTTTGGTTTTAGGGATACGTCAACGCCTATTGAGAAACTACGATCATGCTACGGCTGCAGCTCTTGCAGCTAGTGAAGCAAATGTCAAGGGAACTAGCGAATCATCATATATCATATTGACAGCCGATCAAGACAATCAGTTACCATTACCGCATACAAATACTTCACCATCACATCTGGAAGAAACGACTAATGATAGTGCAAGTAATACTGACAAATATGACCTGTTATTTTTTTCTTTCATCTCGGATGCGTTCTGATAAAACAAAAAGCAGATAATATTCGTTCAAACGTGCTTTTTCTGCACTTTTCATTAGGACGCATCTGGGACGAAAGAAAAAACTACTGGGGAACACGAGTTTACTATACAATTATCCAATTTATTCATTAAAGATAATAACAATGATCCAGAACAGCAACAACACCAATCATCACCACTAAATGATAATCACATCGATGAATATGCATCTAATAACACACAATCAGCAACGCTGCCACGTGGTGGTTTAAAACGTCATCAAATATCATCGTCATTAAAAAAAAATGTTCATTTTGCCGATTCTTTAGGTCTCGATCTCGCACAAATCAAATACATTCGATCATCTGTGACATCTGATAGTCAATTTTTACTATCACCATCTAGCACATTATCATTATTTAAACGAAATTTAGTTCTTGATGATATGATTCCTGATCAAGAATTAAAACCATGGGATTTTGATTTAACAGTATCACCAAATCATCGTGCTTATTCTTCGCCCCCATCGACTGTTCATCATCAACCAAAAACTCGACGATATTTTTGTTTATTTCGTCAACCCAGTTCGGAGCCACCCGATAGCTATTTACATGAAATATGGCGAGCACAAATTAAATTAGAATATGCTGAAATAAAAGTAAAACAAATCGAACAACCACACATAAATGATAATTTGAGTAGATTTATTTTTCATCATCATACCACTGATACATTACAACAACAATTAAACGGTACACTGTGGGTAACAAACATTGATTTTTGGAAATATGTATCGATCAAATATACGTTTAATCGTTGGATAAATACATATGAAAAAGAAGCTACTCATATGTATCATTCTCAAGACTATCGAAACATTGATAAATATGAATTCATTGTTGATATACCAAATGATATTGATCGGATCGATTTTATATTACGTTATACATCTGGTGGTCAAGAACATTACGATAATAACTATGGAAATAATTATACATTTGAAGCTGATCAAACTGTACCGATCACAATATCACTTCCGCACGATTGTGATTTTAATGAAATGAGATTTTACTAAATTTATTCTTGTTACTTTTTTTCTTTTGTTAAAATCATTTGTTTCTTATCTTATTTTTCTACTCCCTCTTTACTCACCCAAAATGATACTCTTCTGTTGTCTTTTTCAAAAAAGAAGTTATAATTGTTAGTAGTCAGTCGATCAATAACAAAGCAACGGATATATCCAACAATTTTATTAGTTTTTTTCCCAACTATAAAAAGAATTTTCCGAATAATAAAAAGAAGCCGAAGCAACCAGAACATTTACCTAGCTTAAGCTAGTTTAGAACTAGCTTCAGCTACGTAAATGTTCTCTTTTAAGCTAGCTTCAAAAAATTGTTTTTTTCTTGAGCAAATTAAATAGAAGTGTGTGAGTTAAGTATCTTTCACTTTGAGAGTTACTGTAAATTACACAAATTTAAGAACAGAACGAAGAATGAACCCTCAAACAAGATGACCTCTGTTTTTGAATCTAACCAAAAAGTATAACAGTGTCTTTCACTATGTTTGTTATTTGTTTATTTTCTCTCACGATGAATGTTTTTTCGTAGAAAAAAAAAATCGCGTCCATAAATTAAGTTTTTTGTATATATTATAAACACTCTATGTGTTAGTTAGCTTTTCCAGTAAAAAGTATTTTTGAAATATCCTCATTTTTTCATACTATCGTCGTTGAACTTCCCGTAGTTTGTTTATATTTAACTTCTTTTGGGATTGAGCGCGTATAATGTATGTAAACAAAACTGTTGTTATTATGGGATGGTGATTAAGTTTATTGTTAGAAAAATTTTTGATAAACTGAAAAAATTGTTGTTAGTTTTTTTATTATTAAACCAGCCGTAATCTAGTGATAAATAAATAAAATATGTTTTAATAGGCATGTAACATGAAAATGCTATTTCAAGATTCACCGAATCGATTTTGTTAAATCTCAGTACTTAAGAGTTTTGAACGATGTTCTTTTCGATGGCTAACTTGAAATAATTTTAAAAGTGTCGAAAGTAGGATTTCCAGAAAACCACGGTTTTTCAAACACATCCATTTACAGAAA